TTTGATGCGTTGCAATACGGTAGGGCATTGTTTTGATGCTTACATCCGAAAAAAAAATCTTTTTTTTAATTTTTATTTATTTATTCCATTTTACATACATGCATATATATATACACACACATACATATATACAGTGGGTACGGTATATATATATACATATATATATATACATACATACATGTATATATATTTCTTTCTTGTCTCCCCCGACTCTAGAGTCAAATGTTGCCCATGGTAGCAGCAATTCAGCAGCAGCGTAGCAGATCTATTCCGCCAAGACAAAATACATTAACTTTGTCATATCCATCACTATGCTAAAATCTTCCTAGAGTTGTCATGATTGAAATAACTATAACTCATTTTAGATCACAACATACACTCACTAGCCACTTTTTTAGGTACACCATTTCAACTGCTTGTTAATTCAATATTCAAATAGCCAATCACATGGCAGCAACTCACATCTTAGACATGGTCAAGATGATCTGCTGAAGTTCAAACTCAGCATTAGAATGGGGAAGAAAGGTGATTTAAGAGACTTCGAACGTGGCATGATTTTTGTTGCTAGACGGGCTGGTCTGACCATTTCAGAAACTGCTGATCTGCTGGGATTTTCACATACAACCATCTCTAGCTTTTACAGAGAATGGTCTGAATAAATATCCAGTGAGCATCAGTTCTGTGGGTGAAAATACCTTGCAGATGCCAGAAGTCAGAGGAGAATGGCCAGACTGGTTGAACTGATAGAAAGGCAACAGTAACTCAAACAACCACTCGTTACAACTGAGGTAAGCAGAAGAGCATCTCTGAATGCATCTCTAAACATGTTGAACCTTGAAGCCGACGGGCTATAGCAGCAAAAGAACAGGAAACTGAAAAGGGTTGCCTAGTCTGATGAGTCTCGATTTCTGCTGCAACATTCGGATGGTAGGGTCAGAATTTGGCATAAACGACACGAAAGCATGGATCCATCCTGCCTTGTATCACCGACTCAGACTGATGGTGGTGTAATGGTGTGAGGGATATTTTCTTGGCACACTGTGGGCCCCATAATACCAATTAATCGTTGTTTAAATGCCTCAGCCTGCCCGAGTATTGTTGCAGACCATGTCCATCCCTTTATGACCACAATGTAACCATCTTGTTATGGCTACTTCCAGCAGGATAACATGCCATGTCACCTTCACCTTTCCTGGATTAAGTTTGGAGCGGTGAGGTACGAGGATGTATGCACATTCACATAAGGAAAGAGAGAGCGCGAGTGTGTTACACACACACACACACACACACACACAGTCTTTCTCCATACAACACTCAAACAGTGGCAAAGACACCTGAGAGCCAGCAGTTTGTTTGTTTTTTAAATGTCGTGATTTTGAACAGATGTAAACAATGGCAGGAGGCTTAAAAGTATAGACGTGATACCAGCTAAATTTAATTATTGTACTAAATCGCAGAAACGTAGTACTTTAGTCTGCTATTCCTCGCTCTGTGAAGTAATGTTAACGTGAGGGAGCAAACTAGTTGACGTTAGCTAGTTAATTAGCCATGTTATCTGCCTCGGTAGCAAGCCAAATAGTATTTATTTCAACACTGAAACAAACGGCGGGTGTTGATCTGTCTTGATCGGGGGTGAAAGAGGGAGAAATGAAGATGACACAGATATGTAGTTTATGTACGACCTGGAAGTATTTATTTAGCGATCGGCGCTAAAACGTCATCTGTACGGAACATCGTTGTGTACGGAACATGGTTAGCCTACGTTACCCGAAAAATTCCCATACGGCAGACTTCATCTTTTTCGACGGGGGAAAAAGTTCCAGGGATTCACCTCCTTCGGCCATCCTACACACAGGTGACTCTCACTAACTGCTCACACCAACCGGAGGGGGAGGGGTCGTGTGACTCGTTACGCTCTACACTGCACACAACCGAGGGAGTCCTGCACTTTCCGTCTTTGATGACACGTAAAAAAAACTGTGCATACCGCTGGAACGGTATAACGGAAAATTTTTGTGGTTTTGAAACTTCTGCAAACCGCGGTATACCTTGAAACCGGTTATCATCCAATGCCTAACCGTCATGTTGTTCAGAGACGCAAAACAGCGCTGTGGCTGTATTTGGAATTATTTTTTGTTGTCGAAATAGCGCAAAAACAGGAAATATGGTGTCTAAAACGTAAGTCTCCTAATTAACTTCTTGTTTATTGAACTGTTGTAAAAAATCCAATATCACATTTGTAATCATGGTCATTTTTGGAGAAAAAAAACGGACTCTTCATGTGAAATTGATTAACTATATGAAGTGGTATAAATATATACATTTTCTACCCCATGTCTTGCATTTGTGATCATTCTAAATGTATTTTAATAGACTGAATCATGCAGTGAAAGAACCACTCTAAATGAGTACACGCACTAGTCTAGACTTCACGTAATGTATGTGTGCACTAGTGATGCACGGATGAGCTAAAACGTCACCCGAATCCGCAGCTTCAAATAAATTAGCCACCCGCCAACCGCCCGCACCTGTATTTTTGTCTGATTTAGATAACCGCACCCGACCCGCACCCGATCGTCACATTAGGGTTCGTACGGTCATGAAAAACCTGGAAAAGTCATTGAACAGCAATTTCCAGGCCTAGAAAGTTTTGTAAAAAGAAATAAACTCAAAAAGTTTTTGAAAAGTCATGAAAATCTATTTCACAATTCTCTGTATAATAGAATTATGTTTAATCAGATCCTGAATTTCGTTGCGGGATTGCGCATACATCGCATTACTCATTCCCGCAGCTTTCGACTTTAAAATGAGGGAAATTACTGCAAAACCTTTATTCAATATAGCGTGTAGGTTAGATGAGTAAATAAATCCACACAAACCATCAGATGAAAACAGCGTGAGTGATTCAGCTGTACCGGGTATTCTCTCTTTGACTTTCATTTCACATCGACGCATCTAGAGCTGCTGCACGCTGCGATAGAAGACTTTAGCTCGCGTTTCGGGACAGTTGACAGAATTGTCAATTGCCTGATCGGTCATTGTTGCATCATCACAAAAATGTATTATTTTCACGTCTTAAGCCATTTGGTACTCGTGCTCTCCAGAGGCGTGTGCGCTCACAGTCACATCCAAAGCGCGTACTGCGAGTACCAAATTGAGAAAGTACTGTCGGGTTTGTCTTAAGTTAATGTAAACAGTTGCAAAATAAAACGCATGAGTATCAGTATTGGATCCGTGAAATAGGTCTTGTGACAGCAGCCTAATAAAGCTGTGCCGTCTTTTATTAATGTTAATCAAACAACAAAACTTACTGCTCTTGACTAAATAATGTTTTGTTGAATAACTTTTAATGTTAATTTACAGTTTATTCAATTTCTGTAGCCTATTTAAAACAAGTTCATAATTTAGAAAATGTAGTAATACTTGCATCATTAATGATTTATTTTATCCACCCGCGACCCATCCGCAAATAATCAGAATGCATTTTTTTATTACCCGACCCACCCGATCCGCGGAATATCCGCAGCGCCCGCGGATATAACCGCCATCCGCGCATCACTAGTGTGCACTCTGTAGGGGTGTTTTGAATGTTTTTTTGCAAAATACTTGATAATGTCAAATCGCACATCGTTAAAACAACAATTACAATATTATCGCAGACGATATATATCGCACACCCCTACTTCATTAATAAATCAGGTTATGATGTCAAAATATAATCATTTGCGTATCTGACTGAGTATTCCATACATTTGTCAGTTGTGATGTTAAATGAAGCTTGCAACTTGTCAGCAGGAAACTTACAGCTCATATATTACCCTCTCATGCAGTTATAATGCAGCGTTTTGACTGAACCACTTCTGCTGCACGAGAAGAGAACACACTCATCACTCAAAAGAGGGTCAAACCCTATATTAGCAAGGTGGCCAGTGAGTGTATTTTCACTAACAAGGCTACTGTTTGGCTGGGTTCAACAGTACAGAAAACAAAATAAAAGTCATCAAATACAGATAACACTTAGAAATAAAGGTAACACTTTAGTATAGCGGCCAATTCTCACTATTAACTAGTTGCTTATTAGCATTCCTATTATTAACATATTGGCTGTTTATTAGTGACCATATTCTACATCCCTAAACCTACCCAATACCTAAACTTAACAACTAACTTACTAACTATTGTCAAGCAGCAAATTATGAGTTTTGAGGCATAGTCATAGTTAATGGTTTGTTAATAGCGAGAACTGGATCTTAAAATAAATTGTGATCGAAATAAACAAAAACGCCCCCTAAAAAGCATCTACTATCTGACCTGTTGCTGCAGCAGATTCCACTCGCTCTCGCTGACCAGTCGGTAGCCAGACGGAGGCAGGTAAGCCGTATCAGCAGTATGAGAGATGCTGGACAGGAGTGATGCTGTTTCCTCCTGCTCTGGGGTCATGGCCTTAATGGCCTTCTCCTGGTCCTTGGTGAGGAGAAAGTGTCCTGGCTGGAGGGAGGATATGGAGGAGGTGTCCCTGCTGTCAAAGCCCCCACAGTCTGCCCCCACTAGAGGACCAAAGTCAGACTCGTCCAGCTGGCTGGCTGACTTGGCCTTGTTGTTGTGTCCTCCGAGCCCGTGAGTCTGTAGGGCCCCTCCTGAAGAACCCAGGCTGTCGGTGGACTGCACCCTCCGAAGCCCATCCTTATAAGGGTCAGAGCCGTCCGGGCGGCCCGGGGTGTCTGCATCCAGAGAGTGTAAAGAGCTGTGGATGCTCTGACTGAGGTGGGACTGAGATCAAAATTATGAGAAAACATGCTTAACATTTAAAGTAAAATTACAGTCAATATTGTAGATTTTAAGTTTAACTGAAATTCTATTTACAACCCAAAATGATGAACAGTTCTTTTTATAACACTATACAAACAATATTTCAGCACAGCATTCAGGTATAATTTCTGTCCAGTGATAAAAATGTATGGTATGACATGGAATGTAGTGAAATTTGGCAAAATATGGATGAATAAATCAAAGTTGGGCTGTACACTTTATCAAATCAAGATATAGACTGGTGTCTTTAAAATAATTTATAGTTTTTCAGCCTGGTTCTCATAAGAGCACCTGGAGATTTGGTTTGGTCCTCACACAGCACATACTGTGACCCATTAAATATAACAATAAAAAATAAATTTATAATAGTGATAATAATATTATTGCACTTTATGTATTTAGTTAAAAATATATATATATATAATAATAGAACAAAATAATAAAGTGTGATAATATTATTATTTAAAGTAAAAAGGGAGTATTAAATAAATATACAATTATTTTATAATGAACTTAAAATTAAAATGCTAATATGTACTTTTTTATAAATGAATTTTCATAATTTTTAATTTTTAAATTAGCAAGCTTTTATTTTGTCGGGTTGCCGGCAAGTAAGTATGTGCCTGCCAGGTTTAGCTCTGCCGACTGAAACATGTCGGTGAATGAAATGTGAAATGTCACAGTTTTGCATTGTGCTTTGAAATGACGGTGGATAGCCTAGATTTATGCTTTCAGTTAGAATAGAAATCTTATACAGTATTACAGTTTGTTGATCTAAAATGGTAATTTGGCTTTAAAGGGGTCATATGATGCTTTTTTAAAGATCATTATTTTGTGTATTTGGTGTAACAGAATATGTTGACATGCTTTAATGTTCAAAAAACACATTATTTTTCAAATACTGTACATTATTGTAGGTCCTCTATGCCCCGCCTCTCTCAAACGCTTCGTTTTCTACAAAGTCCCTCCTTCCGACAAGTGCAGTCTGCTCTGATTGCGTAAGTTCTTTCCGTTCCTGCACCTAAATCGTTTTTAATCACATTAAAATGCGAGCGCAGGAATCGTTAAGCAGAATTGAAATGCACGCGTCTTATCGAATACCCGGTTCTTGGAAATTTGGAACCGGTTCTAAAATGGAACCGGTTTTCGATACCCAACCCTAGTCACAGTAGAGAAGAAAAGACAGATCGCAACTTCCAGTTTCATGCCGACTTGATTAACTTAAAAAAAGCACAATGTATATAATAAGTGTAAATAGTTTAATTGTCTTCATAGCTCCATTGTAGAAGTTGTTAAGAAGACCGCAACTATTTTTATGAAGCTATAACACTACTAGACTATTTTCAAAAGCCTATTGAAATGTCTCCATTTTTGTCATCCTAATCTTAGCCTACGTGACAGTATCTTAATCTTGGCCTGTGTGACAGTAATGTCCATTAGTTTTAATTTACAGTGCAGTGCAAATGAAGGCATAAAACATTAATTTCATTTATCTTTTAATCAAATGAGAGTTAAACTCTATTTTTGGCAAACAAAGGGGTTTACTACTAAAATTAAAACATGGAAGAAATAGCATATTGTGTGATTATTCTTTTAAACAAAAGTTGTAATAATTGTAGTAGTAGTATTAGTAGTAGTAGCTAAACCAAACTTTTATTTTGATGGGTTGCCATGAGGACCTTTTAAGTTTCTGTAGCCTATGTATATGATATGACGATAGTTTTACTCAAATGAAACGGTCAAATGCTCATGAAGTAACTCTCAGAGCAGTTCTGGGGATGTTGTTCATGTATTTATGTCCTCATTCAGTGAGACACCACGAGCGTCACGCACTTCAGTATGTGTGTAGTATACAAAACCGCGTGTGTGCTATTCATATATACAGAGACACGCAGAACATGCAGGATTCATATTTAAATAGTCTTTTTGCGGCTTAATATTTACAGATACTAGTCCAAAGTACGAGTCGATTTAAGTGTACTGACCTACTTTTGATTAATTCATCCAAACTTTGACAAATTCCGTGACATTCCGCCTCATACAGTACATTCCATTTATATGACTGGATTCCGCGATTCCGTCAACGTTTTCCCCATCGCGGAAACCAAAAATAGATAATATTGAGGTGTTTTGCAACTTCAGTGTAGTGGATTGTGGTGTGAGAGTGCAAAACTTTCAGTGCCTTTAGCCTTCCTGATTGGTCGGACTCGTGACTCCCAACAAATCAGACGGGCGGTGGGCAGAGATTGCTCTAGGCCACAGAGTGGTGAGTTCCGACAGGCTGCATCAGAGCCAGATAGCGTGTTTCAAAATGTAATTATTTTATCGGCAAATAGGTTTTGAAAATGACCGATACCGATAATCATAAAAATGCTTAATATCGGCGTCGATAACCAGTCAGGCCGATAATCGGTCAACCCCTAGTAAGAAGCATCATCACCGGCACTGCACGTGAAAAATAATTTCCTGACTTAGAAAACGCACGTGAACTCAAATCGGAAAGCTCTAATAATACAAATCTTTGTAGTAACGCGAGTGTCCATGTTGTTTTCACATTCCGACTTAAGCACAACTCGGGAAATGAGAGCATCCGAGGAGCGCGTGAATGCAGTAATTACACTTGCTCTGATGGCAGCAGGTAGCCTTCCGTTAACTAAGCTAAACATGCTTAAATTAAAATGCCTAAAGCTAAACTTCCCTTGTATTCACATTTCTAAACCTGTTGCCCAACAAAAGAGAACATTATAACCTTTTTACTCCACAACCGGAACCGTTTTAAAAGTATCGATTTGGCACCGGTATCGAAAAAAAACCAAACGATACCCAACCCTAGCCAAAAATAAGGAATTATTACATTTTAATTACATTCCAAAGATTATTTAAATTCTTATTGTTCAATGCCTTTGATTGCAACCATTTTTGATAGTAATTTATATTAAATCATAAATCCATTAAAAAAAAAACACAGAATTACTGTAAAAATACCTCTTCTATGGAGAGTCCGAGCAGAGAGTCTTCCACTGCTTCTGCATGCTCCGTCCCATCATCCTCACTGGCCTCTTTAGCCTGGCTCAATCTTTCCTTCTCATCCTCTTCCTGACCAAATATTTGCATAAATTTACAGTAAAACTAACCAGATGTCATAGT